TAAGTAAGTAAGTAAGTAAGTAAGTAAGTAAGTAAGTAAGTAAGTAAGTAAGTAAGTAAGTAAGTAAGTAAGTAAGTAAGTAAGTAAGTAAGTAAGTAAGTAAGTAAGTAAGTAAGTAAGTAAGTAAGTAAGTAAGTAAGTAAGTAAGTAAGTAAGTATCACCGACTCATATAAAAGTGGTATGTAGACAAACTCTTTAGAATTGTCTGATAGAGTTCTATCAACATTATGGAGGACTAGACTAGCGTTTCACTGAACAATAAAAAGCAATTAATCAGTTGTGAACCAATTCTCATATATTCCACAATGAAAGTAACTAGAAAGAGAGGGAGCGATGGACGATAAACGAGAGGCGTGTTTGCAGATAAGTAGGTAGATTTACACATAGAAGAAGATAAGAAGATTATTTGAACTAATATTTCGTTGAAAAATGATCCTTTCTACTTCGTTTTAAGTGAAATTGTAGATTATTATCAGAAAGGGGTTTTTGTGGATATTATAGTAATTTAATATTTGAGTTCATGAGTCAGCTGAAGCTAGACCACCATGGATTATTGTGAGTATTAGATTATCATGCCACCAAAACCTATATATTCCCTCATTATATATATACATATAATGGAATGATAACAATAGTAATCCTTTAATAATCATTGTAAATGATTGGTAATTAAGGTTAAATGTTTCCAGTTATTAAATTTACTTGAGCAAAACAAATGGTCTTCATTCGTGCATAACTTCGATATAAGTTGATTAGCTTATACTTCAAGTTCTTGCTAACAAGTTCCAACAAGCACAGAACCTATGTCGAAGGTTTCCTCCTGGCTATTTACAACCACCTAACACATAATAATAATGACTAGATTGGAACTTATAGGTCGACAGAATTATTTCATTACTAAAAAAATTAGACAAATACAACATCGGTTAAGTGGTGGTTGAAGGTAGATAACTAATGATTCCAAAAGTAATTCGATAGCACATAGAATGTACAAAAACTCTTGATTTGCAGTTGAAATTAATCAACAGGAAACCTTGGACCCGGGTTTCGTGTTACTTGTCCCTCGTCAGTAAGGTATACCTGTTATCTTGAGAGAACTGGTGCTCCCTGATAGATTCGATCCTGTGTTGACAACATTCAATCTACACTAAGAAAGACTTGACATACATGACATTGATCACCATTAAGTGATCAATGAATTATGATGACATCGGTTATTATTCATTGATTAATCAATTATAAATGTAATCTGTTTTACAATGAATTAATACAAAGTTATGCCAGATGGGTTTTGTGGATATTATAGTAATTTCAATGGTTAAGATCATGAGTCAATTGAAGCTAAACCATCATCAATAACCTGGAAGTACTGAACGGCCGTTTCGTCCAATTGCGGGAGTCCTCAGCAGTGCACATCCACGACCTCGCCCCCTGAGAGATTCGAACCCAAATTATGCTTTTAAAATAAGGGATTCATTCGTATGTTTATTTATTTTTACTTTGTTATTTTCAACTTTGAAAAATTCTAATAATAAAAGAAATGAATTATACAACCAATTTGTTCATTTGCTTGTTTGTTTGTTTGTTATCACTATTGAGAGTAAACAAAATAAACTTTTTTAAAAAAATAAATATTTACCAAATAAATAAATAAATAAACGGTACAGTACAGTGTGGATTAGTATAAATAATGATAATATTCATATAATGTACGTCTGGCCAACTAAATTTATCTACTTTCTATTATGTAATCTATTATGTAACTCTGTCATATACAATCCTTCCCAGTTGTTTCCAGTTACTATTCATCCTTTTCATGTCTGCTTCCAATTTTCAGCTCACTATGTTCTTTACTGTTTCTCTTCAAGATTTCAAATTAGCGCTTGCCTCGTGATACAGTCAGTTTAGTGTTTTCCTGAATGTATGTGCTATTCACTCCCAGTGTTTTCTCATTTCCTCAGCTGGAATTCAGTCTGTTCTCTCTTATAGTAGGCTGTTGCTGATGGTATCCAACCAACAGACATTAATTATCTTTCGTAAACAATTGTTTATAGATCCATCTGTAGACTTTCTATGGTTACTCCAAGTTCTGAGCCTGGATAAAGATGGAGAGTTAGGTATGAGGCTAGCAACAATATACTGTAAAGAAATTTTTTTTACTTACACCTGTTACTCCTAATGGAGCGTAGGCCGCCGACCAGTATTCTCCAACCCACTCTGTCCTGGGCCTTCTTTTCTAATTCCATCCAATTCTTGTTCACTTTTCTCATGTCTATCTCCGTTTCCCGGCGTAATGTGTTCTTTGGTCTTCCTCTTTTCCTTTGGCCTTGAAGGTTCCATGTGAGGGCTTGTCTTGTGACGCAGTTGGATGCTTTCCTCAATGTGTGTCCTATCCACTTCCAGCAATTCTTCGTCCGGATTTCTTCCTCCCCTCTAATCTGGTTTGTTCTCTCCCACAGTAGGTTGTTGCTAATAGTGTCCGGCCAACGGATCTGAAGTATTTTGCGTAGGCAACTGTTAATAAACACCAGTATTTTCTGGATGATGGCTTTCGTAGTTCTCCAAATTTCCGCCCCATACAGTAGAACTGTCTTGACGTTTGTATTGAAGATTCTGACCTTGGTGTTGGTTTACAGTTGCTTTGAGTTCCAGATGTCCTTCAGTTGTAAATATGCTGCTCTTGCTTTGCCGATCCGCGCCTTCACATCTGTATCACATCTACCATGTTCATCAATGATGCTGCCCAAATATGTAAAGGATTTTACATCTTCTAAATCTTCTCCATCAATTGTGACTGGATTGGTGCATGCTGTGTTGTATCGGAGAATCTTGCTTTTCCCTTTGTGTATATACTGTAAAGAAAAACCACTCTAAAAACACATCATCTATAAAAAAAATCAATGACATAAAAAGGTGTAGAAACAATTACCAGATAAGTAAAGTCGTTTTACTATGAGTCTATCTTAATATAACTATTCATGTTGTGAAGTGATTAAATTTCAAGGAAATCTAACTTGATCTTCCAAAGCTATCACTAAGATTGTGATATTTATTAATCTTTAGTTTGAAATGAATGATTCTTATTTATTAAGTAATGTTAAACTATAATGAAGCTGTTATGATTTTAACTTAGACTATTAACACTATCAATGTATCTGTCGCATAATTAATTTAATAGTTGAATTCATGAGTTAATTGAAGCTAAATCACCATGGAAAACCTGAAAGCATTGGACGGCCGTTTCGTCCTGTCGTAGGACTCTTCAACAGTGTGCATCTACGTGGAAAGACAAGTGTATTTTTGTTCTATTTCTAACTTATCATAATGGAAATACATCTATATCAATGTTACTGTTTACATAATAAACTCAATTCAGAACATATTACTTTTCACAATTGATTGATTACTGGGTGGTGATCAATGTCATGTGTGTCAACTGATTCTTAGTGCAGATCGAATGCTAACGACCAAATTGCAATAAGGCCACTAATCTAGGTGACTCGACATTGCGTGCACTATGTTGAGATTAGAGGGTGGTTGAAGGTATTCAATAGGAAACCCTAGACTCGGGTTTTGTGCTATTTGACACTCGTCAGCAAGGTGTACCTGTAATCAATCAATTGTGAATACATTTCAGTCCTACAGGAAGTCGGTCGCGGCCAAGATAGCTCAGTGGTAACGTCTCTGACTGTGAAGCTGGATGACATGGGATCGAATCCATCAGGGAGCACCAGTTCCACTATGATTACAGGTACACCTTGTTGACGAGTGTCAAATAGTACAAAATCCAGATCCAGGGTATTCTATTGACTACTGTCAACCACCATTCTATCCTATTCTCCATTAGTTCTTTTTTTTAATCAGATTCAAAACTTGGAAATTCTCTTACTTCATTTTGATTGGTTTGATCATATTTGAATAGTATTCTATATGTATATGGAAAATTGTATGTGTTTGTAAATTCTATTGAAGTTATGCAAAGAATCTGTTTGTTTGTTTATTTCTTTATAAACTAATAATCGTGTCATTATTTACTTTTAAAGATAAATAATTTGTTGCATAATAAATATTGTTTAAATTAATATTTGGACATATTCATTTGAATAGTTTAACTAGTTTATCCTCTTTAGTTAAATGAATACACTTGATAGCATTTGAAGTGAACAGTATTCATTTTGAGTCCTGGAGTGAATAACAATTCAAGGAATACAGGTATACCGAATTGACGAGTCCTAAATAGGACGAAACATACATTCTATATTCCATTACTAGTCATTATCTATCGAAACTTATAATGTTTATGAATTAAAGTAATATTGAATCAAATCCACACAGGATACACATAAACCAATAACAGATTGAACTATTGCAATCCTATACAACATTAGAAAGATACAAGCAAACAATAACAAATGTTTCACAGATTGAAGTCATGAGTCAATTTAAGCTAGACTACCATGGAAAACCTAGAAGCACTGGACGGCCGTTTCGTCCTAGTATGGGTGGAGTTCAACCAGATCTATTGTGAGATACCAACTCACTGAAGACAATGATGTACGGCGGCGCAACTTCATGGATTAGTTGAAGTTAGACATAAACACTGTTGCATGCCGGCTCAGTGGTCTAGTTGGTTAAGCGCCTGGCGCAAGTCTGGTAGGCCCTGGGTTCGAATCTTGCGATTGGCGGGACCGTGGACGCTCACTGTTGAGGGGTCTCACAATAGTACGAAATGGCTGTCCAGTGCTTCCAGGTTTTCCATGATGGTCTAGCTTCAATTAACTCATGATTTCAATCTGTGAAATTTCTAAAATCTCCAAAAAACCCCTTCGGATAATACTAAATGTGTTTAATTATTTTGTTTATAAAATACACAATCAAATGAAGTTCATTTCTCATTCAGTTTTATACGTGATGACCGACAATTTTATTATTTTATACGTGTTCTTTTCGCTGTTTTATTTTTTGTTTTTGCCTTTTTTCTTCCTTTTTACATCTCCATTTAACCTAATTTAGTTGATCCACTAAAAAGAAATAAATCTTTTTTCCCTACCTTCCAAAAAAATGAGTAAAGTAGATGATTAGGGAGAAAAAATACGGTAAAGAAAAAATAAAACAGAAAATTTTCATCATCATCATCATCATCATCATCATCATCATCATCATCATCATCATCATCATCATCATCATCATCATCATCATCATCATCATCATCATCATCATCATCATCATCATCATCATCATCATCATCATCATCATCATCATCATCATCATCATCATCATCATCATCATCATCATCATCATCATCATCATCATCATCATCATCATCATCATCATCATCATCATCATCATCATCATCATCATCATCATCATCATCATCATCATCATCATCATCATCATCATCATCATCATCATCATCATCATCATCATCATCATCATCATCATCATCATCATCATCGTCATTTTCATGATGATAAAAGTCCATGTTGAACACTAATTTTTGTAAATGTGTTAATTAGATTATTTAGAAAAGTAGTTTATTGTAACTTTGTATTGATTGAGTTCGGGTTTTTTTATTGACTTTGATTAACAATATTTTTAGAAGTGGTTTTGTAAATATTATAGTAATTTCAATAGTTGAGATCATGACTCAATTGAAGCTAGACCAGCATGGAAAACCTGGAAGCACTGAACGGTTGTTTCGTCTTATTGTGGGACTCCTCAGCACAGGTTTTCCATGGTGCTTTAACTTCAATTAACTCATGATCACAACTATTGAAATTACTATAACATACACAAAACCGCTTTCTGATATTAAGCAAAATATACTTACTAGTGACTGGCTTCAAGAGGTATATTCTGGAGTTCTAGTGAGAAGTACTGAACGGTGGAGTTCAACCGGGTCAGTGGTGAGATAGTGACTCACTGATGACAATGGTGGACGGTAGCGCAACCTCGTGGATTAGTTGAAGTTAGACATTACCCAAATTAGATGCCGGACAGCTCAGTGGCCTAGTGGTTAAGCGCTCACGCACCAGGCCGATAGATCCTGGGTTCGAATCGCGTCAGATGGAATCGTAGATGCTCACTGTTGAGGAGTCCCGCAATGGGACGAAACGGCCGTCCAGTGCCTCCAGGTTTTTCAAGATGGTCTAGCTTCAAGTGATTCATGATCTCAACTATTAAAATTAATAATATTTTTTGAATGGCGATTAAATTATATAATAGTTGAATTCACGAGTCAGTTAAAGCTAGATAACCATAGAAAACCTAAAAGCATTGGACGATCGTTTCGTCTTAGTATCAGACCTTCCAGCAGTGCGCACCGATGATCCCACCCGCAGACGCTTTACCTCTAGAACACTGAGTCGGTATCTGTTATGACGGGATGAAAAGTCAAAATTAGATTGATTTACGCATTATAATTTGTATTCAACATTAATTCTGTTCTGATTCAATTTGATAATCACTTAGTATAGTATTCGATTTCATTTTCCTCCTATGACATTTTATTCTATATAACATATGATATTCTTGTATGAAGTACTTTTTTATATGTGTGATTTACTCTGATTATTAATCGAAAATGGGTGTACAAACCAATCTATAAATGAGTGTATTTCCGACTAGATTTGTCGTCATGATTGCTGATGCTTCTGACTGCTTGCGGAATATAATTCCCCGTTTCAAATTTGAACTTCTTTCTCTCTAGTTAGCGGGGCTGGGACGTATCAGAATAGCTAGCTTATTGATCTGTGATCAAAGAGTCTTTGCTTCGTTTGTAGACTAACTGAACTCGTAATCACTTCAAACATAACAGTATCCAACGATGTTAATGTTTAATTTCAACCTATCCATGAAATTGTTCCAACGTCCATCATTGTTTTCAGTGAGTTATCATCTCACAACAAATACGGTTAAACTCCAATGATTACAGCTTTGTTTAATAATATTTGTTTTGTATGATAATTAAATTATTTTACATGATTTTATGTTCTGACCTAGTTTAAGTTTGCTACTGATATATACGTTTTCTATATACTTGTTTAGACCAACTTACTTGAATGAGAAAATTAAAAGTGAGTAAGAAACTAAATCGAAAACAAATTCATAACTCACTTATCAATTCATAGAACTGTTTACTTCAAAAAAAATCTAACCAGATATTTTAGTCAGTAGTATATTTCCGTTTCCTCAAAAAAAAGTTAAAAACAAATCTTGACCATTAGTGAGTGTTTATCAATATATTTCACCTATCGTTTGGCTTGTTTGATTGATCAAATACATCAATTTTTCTTCCTTAAAATAAGTTTGACATTATGGATTAAGCTGTAGGAATTGAATTGGGAGTACATCACAATTTCTATTTACCATATGTCTCTTTTTTTTTTCTTTTGGAGAACATAATGAATTAAAGTAAAAATAAAGTTAATATGTCGGATTCGAACCAGTGAGCTAAGTGCTACTCTGTTCATTATTATTATACTGGTTAAGGTAATATATTCAATAATAGATAAGATTTCAATCAAACAATTCAGAGATATTGTACATTTAATAGAAAATCGGTTGGTCAAGTGACCTACTGATCGGTTCAAAGATAACAGAAAGTTATCTAATGATCATGTGTCTAACGAAATCTCGATCAACTTGTGTCACTTATAACGTACATGAGACACCTGTCTCTCGAATAAAAGACGAGTATACTACATAGTAACTTGGGCTGTTTTAGTTTATAGATGTGAAATATAGCTGTTAAGAATAGAGAATACTTTGGATTACTTGTATTTGATCGTAGGTGTCTTCTATGTGTATTTTGTGACCCCTGAGTAAGGAAAGCCTCGATTTAGAATAAGGTATGAGGTGAAGATGGCAAGGCAGTAAATCTTCATCAACTGAGATGGTTGGGCCATATGTTACGTAATCCCAACAGCCGCCCACTACGACGCTCGATGTTGTCTGGTATAGAAGTAGGCTGAAAGAAAACCAGGGGCGGCCAAACCAAAACATTGCACCAATCTATGAAGTCAGTGACAATTGGACTGAGCTATATTAATAAGCGTAGACTACCTGGTTGGAGTCTGTGTCATTATCATAACCAGTGATTAGCGACTTTGAATCACATGGCTCAAAGTTGATTGAAATGGCATAGATCCAGTTATTCTTTGTCTTACCTCACATTTTGAACTTTTTGTTTTATTTCATCAACTTATTTTTTGGACTGTATCTTTGATTTCTAGTCTTTTCTATTACCGCTAATATTTTTACTATCTTTACTATTCTTACTTACTTACTTACGCCTGTTACTCCTAATGGAACATAGGCCGCCGACCAGCATTCTCCAACCCACTCTGTCCTCCGCCTTCTTTTCTAATTCCATCCAATTCTTGTTCATTTTTATCATGTCTATTTCCATTTCCCGGCGTAATGTGTTCTTTAATCTTCCTCTTTTCCTTTGGCCTTGAAGGTTCCATGTGAGGGCTTGTCTTGTGACGCAGTTGGATGCTTTCCTCAATGTGTGTCCTATCCACTTCCAGCGCTTCTTCCTGATTTCCTCCTCCACTACAATCTGGTTTGTTCTCTCCCACAATCTTTACTATTCTACCATTTTCTTAACCATTTCATCTTTGTGTTACTGGGTTATGGTAACCTTAACCGGTGTATACATGTACCTGATTTTGACATTAGGACAAAACGAAAATTTAGAACTTTCAGATTTTAAAAAAACAGTGATATAACTAACATCAGTTAAAGATATAAACTATGAACATTTTATGATTTCCATAAAACCTTATAATGAAAATAATTCTAGACTTTTATATATAACGCCTGTGTGATTTTATAAGTTTCTTTTTGAACATCTAACCCTACAACAATAATCCATTAAGAATGATCTCACTAGTTAATGTATTAGTAATGTACACTACAATTATGAATTGCATCAACATTAAAAAGAAAAGAGAATTTATTACAATGATTAATACTCTTTTAATTTTTCCAAAATCAAAGACAAAAGAAAGTCAATTTTCAATTCGATTTTGTTACGTCACATGTTGAAGTAGGTAATAATAATAATTATTATAATTTCCATAGAGGGAATGGCTTTATTGACCGTATAGCTAGTTAAATGAGGTTAACAGTATTTAATGTAAAAGGATATTTTAAAAAAAGAGAAGTGAGATATTCGTCTATCAATTAAGGGATGAGTATATTGCGCAACAGTTCGTTCTGTTCTAATGTACGACTATGAAACGTGGCCATTAAGAGTAGAAGATATTCGTCAATTGCTCGTAATAATGCTCGCATCTGCTGGGATCACCGGGTAAGTAATTGTTATGGATGCTGAGGAATAATGTGCCAATCATTATCATGTTAAGTCTAATGATGTCCTTGGACGTTAAATGGGCATTCCTTATTGGCCATTATTTATTTCACTCGTTAAATATTGTACAGATCTTGTTTTCTATTTTTATGGTACGATGTGCTCTGTTTGGTTAGTATATAAATAGAGTATGTTTGAAATATAATGATTCATAACTCAGAGGCTGTGACTTGCGTTCTCAACTCAACTGGCTGGGCTAGACAGGGAAGCGGGACCAATCGAGACTCTAGGTCGTCCTTGCGTGTTTTACGTGTCACTGATTCGTTCGATATAGACGCTGCTTATCAAAACTTGCAGTCCACCCGTTACAACAGTAATAGTGAGGTTAGACGCAAGGTATTTTGGAATGATGGTGGATCAGTTGATGAGGTTGTAAATCTTCATCGACTGAGATGGTTGGGCCACGTGTTACGTATGCCTAAATACCGATTAACATTACGCACAATGTTGACTAATGTTGGACACGGTTGGAAGAAAGTTAGGGGGGTTCAAAACAAAACATGGCATCAGTCCGTGAAGTCCCTAACTTCCAGTCTGAGCCATGTTGGTAGATGCAGACTACTTGGATAGGGTCCGCGTGGCCGTCGTAACTAATGGTTGAAGACTCTTGGTGACATGACTCAGAATTGATCACAATAGCATCGGTGTATATACTCTTTGTGTTCTGTTAAACCGTGAGATTAAAATAATTTCATATCTTTGTTTGTACGAACTAATTCTTTCTTTTTGCACTTTATATATTACACCATAGGGTTAACTGCTTCTATGAATCCTGTGTTCATCTTACTGTGCTAATGAGATGTGACAACTTGGACCGATGCATGTATGTGCCTGGTCTTACGTTGTAACTGACTGACTGACTGAAGAAAGCTCAAATATATGTGAAAATATATATTTGAAATAATCTCATTGATTACAAATTAAGTATTCTCAACATTTTGCCAAAGTAAATTGGTCCGAACTTCATTAGGTAAATCATCAAAATTAGAATTATCAGTGTTAGGTTGTAGAGACTGTTAACACCGGCTCAGTGGTCTAAGGGTTAAAAGTTTTCGTACAAGACCATGGGTACTCGGTTTGAATCCCGCGCACGGGATCGTGAGTAC